AAAGAAACGCACTTTGCTTGGCAGGGTGGCATGAAACGAGACTGTGTCACTGTTGTTGTCTCCATCCTTTTACTGCAGTGCTCTTGAGTGTTATCTCACCAAATTAAGGTGAGCTTCTGTGAAGGTATTTCAAAGGAGGTTAAGAAAATGCCTGCTAGGAGACAGAAGATGGTGGCAGCCGCACACTCCAGCTCTACCCTCCCGCTTTTTGACTGTGCGACCTGGGTATGTAAACCCCCACCCAGTTTACATCTGGATGTAGTCAAAGGAGACAAACTAATTGAGAAACTGTTTATTGATGAGAAGAAGTATTACTTATGTGGGAGAAACCCTGATATGTGTGACTTTACCACTCACCACGAGTCTTGCGCTCAGGTCCATGCTGCATTTGTTTAGCATAAGCATCTGAAGAGAGTTTTTCCTGACAGATCTCACAGTATGCATGGCACTTTCTTAGGTCGCATTCAGTTGGAGCCTCACACGCCTCAGCAAATTCCCATCGACTCCACGGTCTCGTTTGGTGCATCCACAGGGTGTACACTCTGCAAAAGAAGCCTCAGACCCTGCCATCAGCTGTGAAAGGAGATGAGAAGATGGGTGGAGAAGACGATGAACTCAAGGGCTTACTGGGGCTTCCGGAGGAAGAAACTGACCTCGATAGTCTGACAGAGTTTAACACTGTCCACAACAAGCGGATTTCTACCCTCACTATTGAGGAGGAAAATCTAGACATTCAGAGACCAAAGAGGAAGCGGAAGAACTCACGGGTGACTTTCAGTGAGGGTGATGAAATCATCAATCCAGAGGATGTGGATCCCCCAGTTGGTTGCTTCTGGAACTTGGTGCAAACTGCAGTGCTCCCAGTCACGAAGAAGCAGGCAGAAGGCCCTGATTCCTTGGACCTGGAGGAATCAGGGAGCAGGCGCATGCAGAACTTGGCCTTCGGTGGAGGACGCACAGTGAGGCGGGCTCCCAGTGGCATGGCATCCACGGGACAGCACTCATCGGTGGCGTGCCGGTGCCGTACCCGAACCTCGTCCCTGAGGTGGACTTGACTCCTGTCGTGCCATCAGCAGTGAACATGAACCCCACTTCCAACCCTGCGGTCTATAACCTGGAAGCCGTTAATGAACCCAAGAAGAAGAAGTACGCAAAACAAGCTTGGCCGGGCAAGAAGCCCACACCTTCCTTACTGATTTGAGATTTTTGGTTATGCAGAAGGGTAGCGTTGGGTGGGAGTGGGGTGGAAGGGTGATGGGGGAGCTAACGTACAGGGGAGGGGAACTCTCCATGTGTGCAGTTTCCTCTTCAGAAAGTTCCCTGGCGTCCTGAACATGCATATTAACACTGGGATGGGCTGAAATATTCCATGAAGCTGTCTTCAGAACAACAAAAAAAGAAAGCTGAGGCAAAGGCTCATTATCCTTGAGACACCTTACTGCCTTGACTAATTGGGAGGGAGCATTAGGAAAGTCTCAAATGAATCTTCCTCCTAAAATAATTTCTTGCAGCATTCTCAGGAAAGAGGTATATGAGGAGAGCCATATTACTGGTTGCCTGCACTGAGCGTGTCCCCTCAAGGCTTGGAAACTCCAGCGCAACCTCTATCGCACTTTGTGCCACTCCTCCCCTTCTATCAATAAGAAGTCCTAGACTACAGAAATCCAAATTAGAAAAAGTGGATTATCAGTTAGGAAATGCAATAAAGAACTCTATTTAGACACCACTGTTCACCTTTAGGTTTTCAAAAATTCCTAGCACATTCACATCAAGCTTAATGATGGGGTAGAAAAATTGTACATCCATATGTGTTCAGGAGCATGCCCAGTTTTGAGTAAAACACCTCCTTATCAGAATTCAGGCAAGTATCTCTATTCTTTTGTGAACAACTTACATCATATTCTATTCCCTTCTATATATACACACAGCAACTATTCTCTTTGTCCAAGAAGCCACTTTTCTCACTCGAGGAAGACTTCTATATTCTTAGCGAAAGAATTATTTCTTGTCCCTCTTCCTTTCTTGCCTTATCCTAAGTAATTGTCATCCAAATGATGATTGAAAATTTTCTCAGACATTTTCAAATGCGATCTCCACGGTGCTGATTACATCTGTTTAAAACAAAATCCAGGTTATATAAATCTAGTTTTAATTTTTAAAAAAGTTTTTTATACACAAATAGCTCTTACCTTCTCTTTGATTCGACCACGAAAATTACTACCGTGAAAGCTCCCCAACATGTTTTCTTCACTGTGAAACAACTCTTTACAGAAAGAGCACATCCAGAATTATTAGATTACTATAAAATACTGGAGTTCCTGCACTCCGCCTTACCACCTATCACAGGTAAACATATTTGCTGATCACTGCTTATAGAGTGTTTTTTAACAAATCAATGAAATTTCTTTATATTAGAATATTTAATTTCTGATCCATGACTTAGGGATATTTGAAATGTACTTTAAAAGAATATTCTTTGTGGAATTATTTTAGAAGACATCTGCCTTTTAAAATCCAGACCAATGGGAACATTTTATCTGCAGAAATCCTTTGCATATTCCCTTTACTCCTATGCCACCACCCTTCCTTAAATTTTCTGGCTCCTGGAAGAAATACATACGATTACTTTTGGTTTTTTGAGACAGGTTCTCATTACGTAGTTCAGGCTGGTGAACTCACTATATGTAGCCCAGGATGGGCTCAAACTCACTTGTGATCCTCCTGCCTCAGCTTCCTGAGTGCTGGGATTACAGGCATGCACCACCATGCCTGGCTTAGATATGATTTCTCAGATAGCAGAAATGTCTATTGAAAACTTCACTTATGGAAAGAATGCTCACATTTTTACTTCTTCCAGGCACCCTGAGGTAAAGAAGCTGTCCCGTTTGTGTGTGTCAAGCTGGATATGTCAGTTAATTGTCGGATTTGTGCGCTGGCTGTTGTTTGGCTTTGGGTCTGAGGGTGGCAAGGCATGATGGGGTCCTGAAATGTTGGGGAAGGAAGTACTTGGGATAGAGCCCAGGACATTTGCACTGAGCTATATCTCCAGTCCCTTTTTATGTTGAGATGTGATCTTGCTGAGTCACTCAGTTGTCCAACCTGGATTTGAACTTATAATCCTCCTGACTCAGCCTCCTGGAGTGCTGCGATTATAGGCCTGAGCCACCCCCCCCCCCCAGTTTGGAACTTTTTTTTGTACACGGCCTGTTGTTCTAAGAGTATTTAAGGCATTGAAAAACCTGATGTTTAATAAGAAAGGCAATTAGGAATGGTTGGATTTCACAGTCACTTGGTGAGAATGGCAATGGGCACACATATGTGCATATCTGGATGTTCCTCCCTCTCCAGAGGCTGGGCCTCTGGGGGTACTGATGGTTTCCTTGTAGCAGATGTCTCACATTAGATAGAACCACTTTGCTGATGTCTGACATCCATATGTGTGAAGGGAGAGAATGAAAACTATTGGGTAACACTGCAAAACCTGTATGCTTTCTTGAGAAAGCATCTGTCTTGGAGCATGTCACTGCTGTGTAATTGGCAGCACTTGTTTGTTTGTTTGTTTGTTTGAGACAGGTTCTTGGTATAATGTTCTGGATGGCCTTGAGGTATCTGGCTCATGTGAACCTCCCACCTCAGCCTCCGAATAGCTGGTATTACAGGAATGCATCACTGCCCCTGCTTCTAACTTGTCTTTGATACATGCCCCCCCATTTGCCCCATCTCCTGTAAGAAGTTCTGGTATAACAGACACTTTTATCTGAGGTCGCTGCAAGCATTTCATAGTACACTGTTATTAAAATTACCACATATTGGGCCGGGGATATAGCTCAGCAGCATAAATGCTTGCCTGGCAAGCCTGAGGTCATGAGTTTGATTCCGGGTACCAAAGAAAAAATTACCATATATTGGTAGAAATTGCTCAGAATCCAGTTTTACTAAATAAAGTTATGTTTAACAAATAGTAGGTCTGTCCTCCTTCCTCCACACCCTATCTTTTGGGGGTTGTTTTCTACCCTGGCAAATTTATATGAAGACAGGACCAACAAAGCAAAGCTCTTTTTTAAAAATTTTTTTCTTTCTTTACTTGTTGTCTAATATGGTGCTTGGGACTAAAGCTGAGGCCTCACACATGCTAAGCAAACACTCTATCACTGAGTTGCTTACCCAAATTAAAAAAAAAAAAATCAGTCATCCATGCTGGCCTAAAATTTGGGATTTTCTTGTAGCAACTGAGTATTTCAGATTACAGGTGTGTAACACCACACCATTCTGACTGATTTTCAGTAAGTGATTATTCTAGAACATTATGCAGGGAAAATGTCTTGCTTTGAGCAGCACTAAAGAAAAATGTATGCAGGATTCTCTCAAGGATGCTGAAGGTGATAAAATACACTTGAAGGTGGAATCACCTGCTTTTTAGCTGGAGGAGGTACACAAACAGGTTCTGGCCTGCATATGAGGAAAGGAAGAGCCTTTTCCTGGCTTTGATGCAGGTCCCTTTTGTGTCTCCTTTGAAACTGCAGGCCTTGAAATCAGAGTTGCTCCTAGTCCCCTGCTGTCTCCATAAAATGGAGGGCAATGAACAGAATTAGAGTACTGGGTGGGTGTCTGGCTGCCACTTTTCCTTAAATCTCTGAGTAACTGCTTAGAAAGTCACCCTCTAAGGCCAGGGTTTGGCCTGAGCTCCTTTGTATTAATGGAACCTGGCCCTGCCTGGAAACCCTTTTTTTTCGGTCGAGACTTGCTCCTTCACCTCTGGAATATGTATGTGCTCCCAAAGGGGCAAGGTGAGGCTAAGGATGGAGGGGTGGGGAAGGTGGGGAATGTGCCTGCCACAAGCACTTGAAGAACTGTGATGTAATGGCCTACTGATGGATGCTTAGGGATAATTAGCTTATGAAAGTACGCCTCTACATCATTCTGTTCAAATCCCATTCCGTTGGCAATTCACAACCAAATCCTACTAACCTTATTTGGCACTCAAAATCAATATACTGCTAATTCACATCTTTATTGTACAGTCATGTAGGTTACAGAAAACAATAAGGCACTAACTTTGTTCCTTTACACACTTCACTTAACAGGTATTTAACAAATTACTATAAGTGCTATACAATGCAACAATTTATAACTGGCAGAAAACCTCTGGAAAAACTGTTATGAAGAACAAACTTTACCACATGTGATCCCCGAAAGGATCATGCATGGCGGGGCCCCACCCCATACCCATAGGCGGCATGCCAAAGGGAGGCACAGGTGCCCCGGGAGGAATATGCATCATCAGTGGCCTATGTGGCATAGGCACCATGGGCAGCATAGGGGGCCTGATGGGCTGCGGCACTACAGGACCATATCCCCAAGCAGGATCCACAGCATGTACAACGTTATAGGGCCCATTGAAGAATACGCCCATGCCGGGATCCAGGAATACGGGCTGCATATTTCTCAACATCTGTGCTCTCTGATGGCGCCTCCATTTGGCCCTTCTGTTCTGAAACCAAACCTTCAATCAAAAGGAAAAAAGGGATTAGTTTAGTATATGAACAGCAGATGTCATAACAGAAAAAACACAACATGCAACTAACTGTATATGCCACTGAGATTTTAAACTGGAAGTTAGTATGGAGATAACGCAGAAAAACTAAAAATAGAGATTTGATTTGGCATACAGCTACTGCCCTTCTAGGTATCTTCCCAAAAGAGTTAGACATCATATTACAGTGACACATGGATACTCATGTTGATGGCAATACAGTTCATCACAGCGAATTCTTGGGAGTGGCCTATATATCCATCAAGAGCTGAAAGGATAAAGAAAATAAGTAATATTTATATACAATGGAGTACTATCTACCATAAAAAGGATAAATTTGAGTCATTTGTAGGAAAATGGATGCACCTTGAGACCATAAAGTGAAATAAATAAGACACACAAGCTTAAATATCACATGATTTATCTTATATGAGAAACCAAAAATAGAAGCAAAAAGAAAAATTTTAAAAAATAGATAAGAAATAGGAGATCAATCTCTTGCAAAAGAGAAGGGGACCAAGAGACGGAGGGGAAGGAGAAAAGGAAGGGAAGTAGAGGAAAAAAGAATTGTGATGAGTTATGTGCATGTACCAACTCCCCACAAGGAATGTAATCATTATGGACTATAAACATATACTAATAAAAATAAAAATAGACATATATTCTGTTTCCAAGATCTAACTATTATAAATTGTGTTGCTATTAACGTGGACACGCAAGTATTCTTGTAAAATAATAATTTTAACTCTTTTGGAAAGATACCTAGAAGAGGGATAGCTGGGTCAAATGTAATTTCTGTTTTTAGGTTTTTTGAGGATCTCCACACTGATTTCCATAGTGGTTGTATTAGTTTACATTCCCACCAACAATGTAAAAGAGTTCCTTTTCCTCACGTCCTTGCCAGCATTTGTTATTATTAGATGTTTTGATAACAGTCATTCTTTCTAGAGTAAAGATATGGGATCTCAAGGTACTTTTAATTTTCATTTCTGTAATGGCCTATGTATATGACTCTCAACAGATGGATGCGTAAGGAAAATGTGGTATTTAGATACAATGGAATACTACTCTGCCATAAAGAAAGATAAACTTAAGGCATTTGTAGGTAAATGGATGCAACTTGAGAACATAATGGTAAGTGAAACAAGTCAAGTACACAAGCTTAAATTTCACATTATATATATATATATATACACACACACACATATATATAAATATACATACACACACAAATGAAGAGCAAAATAGAAGTTATATAAATACAAAGTAGGGAGAGGTTCCATGATTCCTCAAATTACCTATCATGTTGTTTCAAAAATATTTTAATGTATATGTTAATTTGTTTCATGTATAACACCATTTTTTTCAGTTCATTGAAAAAACGTTTTGTGCAAATAACTCCTTATTTCTTCTTTGTAATGCAATCTCTTTTTTTGGTCTCTGTCTTGTACTCTGAGTAACTACTTTGAATATAACAATACACAATGCATTAACTATTGTTATTCTCGTAGTATTTGCTTATGAAGGTTTATTTTATTTATAAAATAAAAAATAAACTACAACTGGTAAAACTATTTATTTATTGCTGTTATACCTTAAGAGAGTAAGCAGCTCCTCCCTTCAGCCAACACTTAGTGAGCGAAGCATAGACTAGAGCTCGGCACATTCGTCTATCTCTCCTCTTCCACTTTTAATATTCCTTACATTCTCAAATATTACTAATGTGAGCCCAATTGTGAGGGAAGCCAAGCAAGGTTTTAAAAAAAGTGCTTAATTCAAGTCTTCCTGAGGGGAACCATTCCTTTTTCAAAAGGAAACCCTAATTTCAGACTGAAGTAACTAATAGAGAAGCATGCTGGCTCTTTGGATAGGTTTCCTCCTAGAATGTTTAAGGGCTCGTTCTTCCTCTGAAAGCTCTTGAAAAATAAACAAGTGACAGTTGGTCGCGGGAGACCTGACCACGCTGTCCTAAGAACTTTGTGGCTTGTCTTGCTGGGACATGAGAGCTGCCGAAGCCCAGGACTCCACCTTGATAGTTTAACCTTGAAAGTTTAGTCTGTGTCCAAATTCTCTAAACGCTATAGTCCTTTGCCAGACGAGAGTTTGGGTACTCCATTTCCGCCGCTGTTCACTTCACACTCTCCTATCTGTTCCACCTCCCAGCCTGTCCTGGGCTCAAGACACGGTCAGTGCATTCAGTTCTTGAGTTGAAGTCACTGTGGCCCACCCGTGGCAAGGCACCCTAGCTTCTGCCAGTTGCACTTCTTAACCAGGAGACCCCAGTCACATCACTCATTGCTAAGGCAGGAAGGTTCAACACTGCATTTGTAGGTGTGCAACAGCAATGTGGATGAGCGATGCCACAAAATGCTGTTCCCCAATTACTTACGAACTATTAACAAACACAGTCAAGTCCTCAATTAAATTTTATGATCTATCCTTTTAGCATATTGGATAAGGCAGTTTACACTGTCTATAATCTTTTTGGAAGCTACCAAACTGCAAATTACTAAAACAAAGGGCCTCTTCTCCCTACCTTTTCTCTCTCACCTTAAGAGTGGGGTCTTTCAGTTGCATAAATATATGATATGAAGAAGAGTAGTGCAACAGAGCTCATTTTGGAGAGATTGAAATATGCCAGTGATAAAATCGCCCAAAATATAACCAAAGCCAATAGAGATAGCAGATTTTGGTGTTGGCTCATCTTAAGTCAGTTTTTCCAATTTTGATTTCTCAAAATAGGTCTACTATATTAGCAAAAGAAGGAGAAGGAAAGTATGTACTAAAATTTTCAGCCAGGTGTGGTGGCTCACGTTTGTAATCTCATCACTCAGGAGGCTGAGGCAGGAGGTTTGCTGCGAATTTGAGGACAGCCTGAACTGCATAGTGAAACCCTGTCTCAAAGAGACAATTTTTTCTTTTCCTGGAGAAGGGCTAAGGGTGTGGCTCAATGGTAGAGCACTTGCCAAGCAAGCAGGTAGCATTCTTACAACCTTGGATAAAATCCCTAGAACTAACCAAAATATGTCCAATGTGGAAAAGACAACAAAAAACACATCGACCTGAGAATGCCCAGGACAAAACCTAGTAAAAAAATGTGTTTTAGAATGGCTGTCCCGCAAATTGTTTTTTAAGATTTACTGACCTGCACTTTGGTTTCAGTCAAATCCAGGCGTGCAGCAAGCTCCTCCCTGTGAGGGGAAAATTGCAAATGATCAGTGTTTGGAGTTGTGGCTAAAATGAAATACATGGATGTACATTATTTGTCCCCACCTCCTCATGCAGTTTTCTGTAATACACCTTGAGGGTTCATTTAGAGAGGGGATGCCCATGGGCAACTTACCCATTAAATAATAAAAAAAGGAATACAAGTGAAAGTGTCTGCACAGTAGATTTCTTAGTTGAGTATGACTCAATCAATTTTTCTGTTTGTGTAACTTCAGAGAACAACCCTAGAGATCTTTTCTTGGGAGGTTCCTCCATGGAAAATAAAATGCCAGGAAAGTGTGGTGGCGCCTCCATGTAATCTTAGTAATCAGGAAGCCAACGCAAAGGGTCATGAGTTTGAGGCCAGACTGGGTTACATATGAGACCTGGTCTCAAACAAAAGCCAATGCACCTTTAAAACATTTTATTTTTCAATACTAAGGACTGAACCCAAGGCCTTCACGCTTAACTATATCCCAGAGTGCTTTTTTTTTCTCTTGTAGTACTCAGCTTCAACCCCAGGGTTCACAAGCCCAGTTAGGTGAGCACTTTATCACTGAGCTAGATCCCCAGCACTTCTTTCTTTGAAAATTTTGAGACAAGGTCTCTCTTTTTTTTATTTTTTTATTTTT